TTCATTAATTGCAACAAATGTGCCACACTTGTGTAAGATTTAATTACAAAGGAAACAGTATGTGGTATACAGGAATTCTCTGTATTATCTTTCCAATTTTTTCTGTAATTCTAAAATGGTTCTAAAAAAACAGTTTACTTTTTTTTTTTTTTAAGGCACTGTTGTCATTCAATGGAAAAATGGAAGCCAAAAAAGAAGATTTGATTTAAGAATAACCAACCCTCTCATTATCCCGTTGGGCACTGTTATGCCTTGTCTCTGGAAACCGATATAATTTACTTCATTTTGATTTGTGTTCTGTCTTGTTCAGAAAGTGCTTCAGGTGACTTACAAGAAGATATAAAAATTAAAACTTGAGAAGCTATTACGGGGTGGGACTTGGGTGGGAAACAATTTGCCCTAGGGTGGATAGACAAGCTTTAGGATTAGATGGACTTGTGTGTATGCTCTCCTTCTTGGTAAAGCTACTTATTTGTAGCTCTATTTCCTCATCTGTAATGTGTATTTAATAAGTACTCAAGATGCCATACGCAATGTTATAAGTATCTTAACAGGCAAGTAATTAACACGTGCACCATATTTGTATACATTGGACATAGTGTCATTTTGGTGGTTTGACATCTCAGGGATATCCCAGAACCCCACCAAGGGATCCAAATTGGAGAATATGTTAGTTTAACCAAAAAAAGTGTCGGAAATATTTGGAGCCCCACCAAAATGTCTTCATAAAAGAACAAATCTTTCTACGCACAAGAACTTCTTAAACTTTAATGTAAATTCCTTCATTTTATAGATCACAAAACTGAGGCCAAGAAGGAGGAAGCGATTTGCCCAAGATCACACAGGGAATTCGGAGAAGAATTAGATCTTAAATGCAAGCATCTCAACTGATACTTAGTCTTTTCTTTTGTATATATCAAGTTACATATTTTTTCTTCCAAATATACTTCCTGTATACTTTGTAAAATGAAGTAAGGATAAGACATGTGCAGTTTTCATATTTCAATGTTAGGGATTCAAGATTTCTTCAAGCATCTGATTGCTGATTGGCTAAGAAACACACACCAGTATTTGTGGATATGTATTAATAAAAAAAATTTCTTAGGGCATATACTTGCAATAAATTTGAAGTAATGAAGAAGCATTTGTTTCCTAGGTTTGTTTTGTTGTTGCTTTATCCTAGCAACAATTAACATGATAGTTAAGAGAATAAACTTTGGAGCCAGACAGATAAGGATTAACTCCTGGCTCCTCCATTTACTAGCTATATGACCTTATTCACCTTAGTAAATATTGCTGAGCTTCACTTTTGTCATCTCTAAAATAGAGATTACTAAGATACAAAATTCATAAGGTTTATATGAAAATATAAAACTAAGTGCTATATATAAATTTCATAATAAAGAACTTGGTACAAAATAAACACTCATTGAAATATAGTTGTTGTTGCTGTCACTATTGTCATCATTGTATTCTCTTCTTGGGAAATTAATATTTTGTGATTCCCAGGGAGGTACTCAGCCTAGCAATAAAGCAATACTGAGTCCTTTTCTCTGGGCATCAGCAAACCTGGTATCATTTATGTCATACTTGCAACTTACTAATTATGTGATTGGATCAATGTATTTTTACTCTGGCCCCAAGTTGTACCATGTATCAGAGTTTTTTTTTATTGAATAAGGCAAAAACCCAGGCTCAAATAGTCTTAAACCAAATTGTAGAAATTACATGTTTAGGTAATTGAAACCGCCACAGGCAATTTCTTCTTTAGGCTCAGGTTAATTCAGGACTCAAAATATGTCAAAAAATCTGTTTGTTTGTTTTCCATTGCACAAATCTGTTCTCTTCCATGTTGGCTTCATTCCCAAGATCCACATGGTAGCAATATGGTTGACATCAGCTCCACAGTTAAAGGCCCAAAGTTTCCATTCTAAAGAGAAGAGAGCACTTTTCTTTCCTAAACAGATTCTATAAAAGCCTTAATCCAGATTCTGACTGGTAGACATTGACTCATGTGCCTAACTCTGAACCAATCACGGTGGGCAAGAGAATAGAACACAATGTTTAGATTAAGCTGTGGTCACATGCCATTCCTGGAGATGGGGGTAAGGTAGTTCTGTTCAAATAACTAATAGTAAAGGAATGGGCCCTGTATTCTTTTTTATATTACTTTATAACAAATTATTACAAACATAGCCACTTAAAACAATCCAATTTTATCATTTCACATTTTCTATAAGTTAGGAGTCCAGGAATGGCATAACTGTACTCTTCATTCAGGTCTTGAATGGCTGAAGTCAAGGCATTAGCCAAGGCTGCCATCTCATCTGGGGCTCCTAGCACTCTTTCAAGCTCATGGGGTTGTTGGCTGAATTAAGTTTCTTGTTAATTCCAGAGGCCACCCTCATGTACTTGCCACATAGGCTATTCTCTCACAATACAATAGCTTTCTTTATTCTGAAGGTTGCCAGGAGAGTGTCTCTCTGACACTTCACCTTCTTTTAAAAGGCTCACCTTGGCCGTATGTGATAGCTCATGCCTGTAATCTCAGCACTTAGGGAGGCCAAGGCAGGCAGATCACTTGGGGCCAGGAGTTCAAGAACAGCCTGGTCAACATGGTGAAACCCCCTCTCTACTAAAAACACAAAAATTAGCTGGGCCTGGTGGTGCATGCCTGTAGTCCCACCTACTCGGGAGGCTGAAGCAGGAGAATCGCTTGAACTCAGGAGGCAGAGGTTGAAGTCAGTGGGCAGAGATCACGCCACTGCACTCCAGCCTGGGTGACACAGTAAGACTCTAACTGGGAAAAAAAAAAAAAAAAAAAAAAAGAAAAGAAGAAAGAAAGAAAAGAAAGAAGACAAAAGAAGGAAAAGAAAAGAAAAAAAGAAAGGCTCATCTGATTAGGCCAGGCCTACCCAGGATAATCTCCCTGTAGTCTAAGTCAACTGATTAGTAGCGTAATTATGAGAGTGACATTTCATTATATTCCTGTGGTTCTGTGCGTGCTCAGGCAAAGAGGATCGTACAAGGAATATATATTAGGGCACACAAATCTTAGGGGCCATTTTGGAATTCTAGCTACCACAAACTCACAAAAGAAAACGGGAGTCTGGTTAACAAGATGACATTGATTGTTGGGCAGCCAGAAAAATAAAATCCCCTACATCCCTTCAGAAAAACAAAAAGGCTGGGATTGGCCCAGATTATCACTAATATCTCTTCCAATTCAAATCATGCTTAATTTTGTGAAACCAAATATAGAATCTTAAGTATTTCCCTTGTCGTTGAGGGAATTAGCAGCAACTGTGTATAAAAATCACTAAAATAGAGGGCAACTTTTTCAAAAATATCACCCTCCTGAGTGTTGTCTCAGCAATTTTTGCAACCCTTCCCTTTTGGTGGGCATCTCTTGCCCACCTCGTTAATATTTTCTGACTGGCTGTTGACAGCGTATTTTTTTATAAGACTGGAAAGACACAGTCTAGCCTAGGACCCAAAGGAGTTGAAGGAGCCTTCCTTAAATATGGCCCTGACCCAGCAAGCGAGTCACCTTCCCTGAAGTCTTGGAGCTTGAGCTATGGTTTATCTCTGGCCCTTTGTTTTTTGGCAATGAAAGGGGAGGATGTGGTCAGACTCATAAAGGCATTACTCAGAGCCAGTTTGGTTCTGAGGCAAGAAATCTGGCAAGATCTATTCCTACATGGCTCCATCCCTGTCTCCAAAATCTTCCCAGAGGACTGCCTTCAGGACCTTGGCCTCAATTAGGAGCTGACCACCAGCAGAATTTGAACTCAGATCTCCCAGTACTGGCCTTCTCTCATGGGTAATTGCAAGAGAACACATGATAAAATAAACAACTTCTTCTTTGGTAACAAAGCTCCCTACAGTGTTTCACATTCCCTGGGCTGAAATTTCATAAATAATTGAGCATTTACTATGAGTTAAAGCATGCATCTACATTCACTATATCCTGACTCTCTTACTCTGTGTGTGTGTGTGTGTGTGTGTGTGTGTGTATAAACATATATACTGAAAGACCAGAGAAGCACTTGCCCTTGAAGAATTCATGATCTACTGGTGGAGATTCAGAAATGCATTTGAATGGTTTCAGCAAAATTTGAAATGTTGTAATGGGGGAAAACAAGGTACAGCATGTAATGTAAACCAAGACAAAAAGATTCAAGGAGGGCTTCCTGTAGAAGGTAGTGCATGAGTTGAGTTGAGCTTCAAGAAATGAATGGATGTTAGCTAGGTGAAGGTCAGAAAGGTATTTGGAAATGAACAAACAGCACAAAAAAATGTCAGATGTGTAAAACAGCAAAGTTCATGCAGAGAAAAATACAAGCAAATTGATAGTGCTGGGATGTAAACTCAGTTATGGTCTGAAAAGGGTGAAAAGGTGGAGCTTTGTTAAAAAAAAAAAGATGAGTATGGAGAGGTCAGCATAAACAAAGTCATAGAGAGTCTTACATTGAAGACTACATTGAAGAGCTTGGTGTTTTTCCTGTGGACAACATGGTGTCCCTGAAAGGTTTTGAGCTGAGGAGAGATAGGATTTGTTTGTTGTTAATTCCTCTATCTGTAGTGTACAGAACAGATCTAAGGCTACAAGGCTGGAGATACAGAGGTCAGCTCTTGGCTGTTGGTTCAGGTAAGAAATGGTGAGAGTCTGAAATCTAGCAATGACACTAGGAGGAAAGAAACAGTCTTAGAAGATTTGGGGAATAATATCTGTAAGATTAGTTGTAGATTAGCTGTGGTGTCTAACGAAAGGAATAGTATCAAGAACAATGCCTAAGATGACCTCCTCAAGTCTTTTTCTCTCTTTCTTTTGTTCTTTCTGTCTGTCTGTCTTTCTTTTGCCCTTCCTTTCCTTTCTTTTCTTTTCCTTTCCTTTCCTTTCCTTCTCTTTCTTTCCTTCCTTCCCTCTTTCTTTCCTTTCTTCCTTCATTCCTTTTTTCTTTGTCTTTCCCTCTTCTTCTTCATGAATCAGATTGAAGTTCAACCAACATTTATTAAGAATTTATTATGTTGCAGTCATGCTCTAAACACTTTACAAAATCACATTTTGCTTCCCAAGAAACAGTTCTATGATAAAAGAGATAAAGTAGTGAAATATTGGAGAGAGAATCAGCTTGCTTAAGGTCAGCTAGTAGCAGAGATAGGAATAAATAGCATTTGTTTTAGAGAATACATGGAGTTTGCTTGAGTCCTAGACCACTGGAATGAGAATTTTATAAACTCAAAATGCATATTTGCAGTTATTCTAAAGAGAAGCATAGTGGGATAAAGACTACAGCTTTATAATGATTGCTATTATTGTGCCACCAATCCAGTGGTAGGTTTAGAGATTTCAAACCAGTGATTTTCAAGCTTGCCTATATATTGGAGTTACCTAGGTAACCTTAAGAAACTTTAAAAAGACACTGATGCTGATCCCCCTTCTTAGAAACTCTGATTAAATTGTTTTGATGTACAACCCGGGCATCAGTATATTTAAAATTTCCAAGTGATTATAATGTATAGCCAAGACTGAGCATCACAGAGCTAGCCTCAGAACAAGCAGAAAATGATCTTCTCTGCTGACCTCTGCACCTGGTTCTCTCTCCTTTCTCCTGCCTTAGATAGTGTGACTCTGCACGAACACAAAAGCATTCTTCCCAGTATGGCCCTCCCCTCTGCTCCAGCGTCCCCGCTGCTGGTGGTCCCATGCTCTTGGCACAGACGGATCTGCTACCTAATTGCCTGCTTATTTGTTAAGTGGTTGTCCTCAGCAGATGTTCCCATGTGGGGATTTGGAGGCCAGCATCTGTATACAAACAGCCGATTGCATCACTGTCCTGCTTTTGATCTAGGCCTAATGGGGCACCGCCCAGGCCACAGATGACCTTCCAAAACTAACCTGATGATAAGCTTTTTCATTCCCCATTTTCATCCCCAACTTGTTCTTTTAATCATCCTTCATGATCTTAGAGGCTCTGCGTGTGTCTTCTTGGATTACTTTCTTCCTTTGCTTTTTAAATTATTATCGCTGTTGTTGCTGTTGATCTTTCTCTTAGAATAACAGAGCATGATGGCAGTCTCGATATCTTCATGGTACAAATGTGCTAACTGGGACACAGAAAGAAAAAGTCACTTCGTCAGGATTAGGATACAGTCATTCAGGGGAAGAACTGAGTTTTAGTTCTTCCATCTCTTATCTCCATTGCCATATACCACCTTACTTAGCCTCACCAAATGGCCTATGGGTTTGATGGCTGATTCTGAAACCTCCTAACTGTGAGGCTTTGACAAGTTACTTCACCAGAACTAGCAAGATAATAATATTCTATGTCTGCCAGCATCATCGTGAAGTTTAAAAATACTGTGTATGAAGCGCATAGCACCAGGTTAAAAGAGTTGTTCAAAAGGTATGCAAAAATGCTGGAAAAGTGATAATGATGTCCAGCATGATGATTAAGTGCCCAGGCATATGAGTTAGATATTCCCATTTGAATCCCCATTATCCCTGAGTAGCAGAGCTCCTTTGGTCAAGTTACTTCACCTCTTTGAGTCTCCATTTTCTCTTTTTAAAAATGAAAATAAAGGAATATTAATCTTACCTCATTGTAACAATATTGAGCACTTATTACACAACTTGACACATATTGAACCTTAAGATCATAAGAAATATTAGGGATGAAAGTGAGAAAGAAGAAAAAGAAGAGAAAAAAATATAAGACGATAATGCTTTCTATCATGTAGAAACAGCACTGCATGAGGAGTCAGGACACCTGATTCTTAGTATGATACCAGCTCCGAAAGTAATTTTCTGTGTGATCTCTGATAAATTCCTTTCTATCTCTGTGCTTCAGAGGTCTTATAAGGAGGACTGGATGGTCTTTGTGCCTTCTTCCATACTGTGATCTCTATCTCAACAAAGCTCTCTTATTCCTCAATTCTCTCATCAGCCAAGGAATGTGACATGCCAAGGTCCTTCTGGCTTCATAAAATAGGGTCCTTCTGTTTTCATAAACTCATTTGTCTTCCCTATCTCCTTCCCTGTCTTCCTAGCCTTTGTGGTATGACCTCCTTCTCACTGCCTTTTGTATGTACACAAGGAGACAGTCTCACCCTCTCCTACAACCTTTGCCTTAAATGTGGGGAGAAGAACCCAAGAACCCAGCCTTGGAGAAGAACTACCAAGTGCTTTTTTTTTTATTATTATACTTTAAGTTCTAGGGTACATGTGCACAATGTGCAGGTTTGTTACATATGTATACATGTGTGGGAATTGAACAATGAGAACACTTGGACACAGGAAGGGGAACATCACACACCAAGTGCTTTTAGAGATTAAGCCATGGTCTCCTTCTGAGAAGACAGTGACTGTCAAGTGGAAAAACTGACAACAGTTTTAGCTCCAGTCATGCAAATTGTATTACTGCAAAGACATATATTTAGCATCTATGACATCAGCTTGATTTACCTTGATTAATGGAGCAATTTGCTGTGCATTTTTCCAAATGCTGTAATCAATTAGGGCTCAAAATAGATTAGAAAACCTCTATGACGTGGACACAGTCCAAAAAGGCTAATGCATCATAAAATATATGTATATATCCTTTCCAATGATGCAGTGGATGAAGATTTGTGTCTTGGACTAACTCAGAGGGGTTCAGGTTTATACAGTTAGGCATCAGGCACTTTTGATTTCAGGTATTGTTAAAGGCAAGTCAGGGGAACAGGTGCTTTGCAAATGCTACTCTATCTTGATCTAGCTTCTCAACATCTCTCCGTGTATATTCTTTTCCCCACTCCAGTCCATTCTCACAGTGATGTTTACAAAACACTCAGCTGGTTATAGCCCCCTTGTAACAACAGAATAGGCCCTAATCTCTTAGACTGACATTGACAGCCCTTTGAAATTGGCACCAGAGTATTATTTCAACTTCATCTCCTCCTATGTCCCGCACATTCCCCATATTTTATCTTTCTATATTTCTCAAGGTTCCCCCCAAATATATCACGTACTTCCTTACAACCCTGTATTTGAACCTACCTTCTCTCTGCCTTGACTAATAAAAAGAAGTCATATTTATGGAGTATTTTTTATAGACCAGGCACTGTGCTGAATGTTCATCATATATTATTGCCCTTAATTCTCTTAACCACCCCATAATCTGTGAAAGTTAAAATACTTGATCTAAGTTGTATATAAGTAAGTGACAACATTAAGATCAAACCCTGGTCGATCTAACCCCAAAGCCCTTGGTCTTTCTTCCTCTCCTTCTGTATAATTCCTTCATCTTTTCTTCTCAATCCTCTCCACATTTCACACTCTCACTGTGCGCTTCTTTCCAGGAGGAAAGATATTTTTCAGACTTGGTGACAGTTAGATTCTAGAAGCTGACTGTGTGGCCCATTAAGAAATGAAATTACTCTGTGCCCAATTTACACATTCTACAACGACTTAACGTGCTGCTGCTCTAGGTAAAGTACCCTCCCAGGCACTAAATACGGTGCAGAGGGATGGAGTGTGGTTTAAGGATTGAACATAACAAAGCACTGCTTGACAAAGAGACTCAAGTGACTTGGGATTAAATTCTAGATATTCTATTAACCATGTGTATAATTTTGAGCCTCTCAGAATCTATACTTCATTGTCAATAAGTAGAGATAATATTCTATATTATGCATTAATCAAATTGATATGAAGATACAAAAGTGTTTCATCAAGTGCTTCACACAAGGTGTTGATTTTCCTACCTGGCACCTGGCCTGAAGGAACTTATGGTTCTAGGAGCTTTTGCTTTAAATTGTATGTAAAACTATAAACTACAAAGCAGTGTGAATTCCTGTTAATTTTGGACAAGAATTAGAGAGCTGACTGTACAACCATTGAAATTGCTGCCATGAGTTCTTCATGACTTCTCCAGGACCTCATAAAACCTGGGCCATAACTGGCCCTGAAAACCTGAGCCATAACTTGTCCTCAAAATATACCCATCAAACGAATGAATATTGCTGTCACTGCAGGAGAATCAGACTATGAAGTCAGAGACATGGGCTATGGTTCCAGCTCTACTCCTCACTGACACTAGTAAGTAAATTCATTTTCTTGCGGACTTGGTTCTTTATCTTTAAAAAGAGTATGTTAAAACCCTGACTTCATAAAGTTGTTATGTAGAGCAAATAAAACTCCACATGGAAGTAACTTGTAAACTATAAAGAGATGTGTATGTACAAGAAGATGAAGAGAATTGACTTGTATTATTAAAGGAATGCATAGGCATATAAGTGCTGTGCTTGAGGTGCTCAGAAGATCCCCATCCAAAAGTCTATAATTCAAAGTCTAGTGAGTGGTTTATTTCATTTTTACAAATGACCATTCATCATCTTGACCTGACACTTAGCAAATGAACCACAATATCCTCCAATCCACTGCTTAGCATATTCTTGGCAGAAAGGATATTAGAGACCAATGGATCCTCTACTTTCTTTTCCCCGGTACACACCATTGTACTGTTGAGGAACCTGACCCTCAGAGGGCAGGGACTGTGTCTTCCCCTTTCTTCAGCACTTAGCACAGTGCCTCACGTATTACATATTCATTAACTCTTCAACAAGTGAATAAATAAACAAATTAAATGACTTGTTGAAGCTATCCTCAGTGCCTAGCACAGGGCCTGACCTACTATGTTTAGTTTTTTTGTGTGTGTTTTTGTTTTGTTTTGTTTTTAATGAAATGAATGAATGGATAAATGCTCATCCAGCAAGTTGGTAGCAGCTATGGGACCCAGACCCCTTCCTTGGCAATCTGTATCCCAACATATCACAAATTGGTATTCATCCTGGTTTGCATTTCCTGCTAATTTACTTAGGTTTGAGCATTTGTCTCTACATATGTGCCTCTAACTCTGTAGAGGAAACAAGAGAGTTTGTCACTATGTCTCTGGGAATATATAGCTTAGGGTTTGTCACCCAGTAGGTAATCAACAAATGTGTCTTGATTATATGAACCTGGGCAAATTAAAGAGGCTATTTGAAGTGTGACTTCTGAGGAAGAGACCTGGTAGGAAGTACTTTGTGTGGTCTGATAATGTATTTATTTACAAGACTAATGTTTATCTAAGCTCCAGAAGATTTCTGGCTTCATTTTGGTATCTGTGTGCATTTGTGTTATTTTCCATCCTTCTGGGGAAAATAGCCCCATCCTTCTGGGGTCCAGCTGGGCTACAAAGTAATAAACAGACATAAAAATTGGCTCACTCCATGACAAGAAGTGGGAGCAACCCAAACCCTTTAAGAAATTCTTCTCTCAGTAGTGAACACACCAGCATCCAGCTAGTTCAAGCAGGGTTCAAGTAAGCACTCTAACTTTGTGAAAACTATTTATGACCAGCACAATAAAACTTCTCTACCCACTCAGTTGCTGGGCATTTGAGACATAGTTGTTTTTCTTTCAGTCTGTTCTTTGACAACAATCAACAACATTGAGTTACTTTGACAATTTTGACAACTAATTCAGGGTATGAGCAAGCCTCTCCTTTTGTTTCCTTAATATATCCCTTTGCAATTTAAGAATTCTACAGTGTCTGATACAAATCAGTGGTCTTACTTCCTTCTGAATGGCTGAACCAAGTTTAAAACTACTGTCTAAAATATCTTGCTGGATATTCTGAAGAGGCCAAATCACTTTCAAAGGTTCATCACATCTCTTTGCTTATGACATTTACTTCACAAAGAATCCCACAAACTCCAAAAAAATTACTATAGTATGTATTTGACAGATGACTCATTTGCCAATCTGTTTATTTCATATATATTGAATTAATAAACTTGTCCCAAAAGATAAAGAGGTAAAAGCCATGGCGTGTGTCCTAAAGGACACCATGTCCAGGCATGAAAAATGAAGCATGAGTATCAATTTCTATGGCACCAGACAGTGCTCACCGACACAGACGAGAGACACCCAGTGCCCCAGAAACTCAGAGAGAAGAGTGGCCACTTCTGGAGCTAGACAAGAGGAGGAAGATGGAATTTAGAAGGCTTCATGGGACAGGTAATCCTTGCACTGGGCCAGAACTGTGTATGCAAGACTAATCTGTTATTAGTGAGGGAAAGAGGTGGGAAGCATGGTTTTTACCAGTTCACTGTGCCCTCTTACTCCACTGAAGTCCTATGGTCTTAAGCATCTGCCCACTTGGGGTTATTCTTGAAAAAACAACAGTAGCCAAATTTGCTGTGTGCCAGATATCATCTGAAGTGCTTCACACTTGCTAGCTCCTCACCACAAAAGTAAATGAAGTAGGTTGTCTCCATTCTTGTAGGTGTGGAAAATATATTTTAGTTTAAATACAAGTGATGGGCACTTGACCAACATCACAGAGCTAGTCCGTAGAGCAGCGGGGCTCCAATTCAGTTCTCTCCTACTCTTTAACCTACCTTTTTAAACCACACGCTAACTACCTTCTTGGTCAGATGGTTTAATTGCTCCGTGGGGGGATATGAGTGTTGGTAGGAGCACCTAGGGAGATGTCCCTTTGGAACTTACTCCCCCAGGGCTCCATAATTGTGCTTGTATGAAACAGAACTCCCAGTGCCTACCATCTGAGCTCATGATCAAAGGAGATTGCAGAAACTCACAAATGTCAAGCGCCCATTTATCCCAGATTGTACTGTGGTGCTTTAATCTACTCTGTCTGTTTACCCTCACAAGAAGCCTGTGGACAATGGATTATTTTCTTCGTGTTGTAGATGAGAAATCTGTCTTATGTAGTTTCAGAAGTTGCTTGATTTCCCACAGCCAGTCTCTACCAAGGCAGCATTTACAAGTACGATATTTACCTCCAAAACCCATCTTATTTTAACTTTCTCCCTCTGTAGATTGCACACCACCCTGTAGCACCTGGCTTAATGATCACAGTGAAAAAGGAAAATTTAAAAAATATAGAAAGGATTAGGAAAAGAAGATATAAAATGAGAAGGAGGAGGATGAGGGAAGGAGAAGGGAAAAAAGTAGTCAAAATGTACTTACATGCTTCAAAGGAGCCCCAGTATTGAGTAATATTCACTAAGGTAGGACATTGACATAAATATTCAGGGGACATTTTCCAACCTGGATTTTGAATAAAAGAAAGACCAGAACATAAGAGGGAGTAGGGTTTTAGTGTTTGGAGATGCCAGATTGGACACAGGAGGAAAATCTGCAAGACCATGCTAGAGTAGCAATGGTGTTGGTTTTTATATAGCAATTTTCTGAAACATCTTCCACAGGACTACATGGCTCTCTTAACTTGAAAGTCCATTTTATTTGTTTATTAAATTAACTGATAGACAAAATGTTCAGTCTTTTACTATCAGAAATTTATGAGTCAAATAACAATTGCCCTCACCTCATGGTATGTTTTCATTGTATTTGTTCCATGTCTTCTGAGCTCTGGCTTCCTTGAAAAGAGGTTTGCATCTTGGCAAGATCCGTTAAATCTCTCTACTTTGCTGATAGCAAGCAGCCCAGAAACAAAACAAAAGCATTGAATCTATATTTCCCTGCCTTCCTTTTCCTCTCTTCTCTAACCCCTCCCCTAGAGAATGCCAGAGAAATAAAAATAAAGTCGTAATTAAGAAAAGAACTAAGAATAAATTCCATGCATTTAACCCAAGTTCCATCTCTGAACCCAGGAGGATTGGTGCATAGCTGTGGTTGTGCTAGAGGAAGCGTGCAGGGAACTCATGCTGTGCTTTCAACACAAATACAGCTCATAAGGAATAGTTTATCACTTAAACCATCTCTTTAATTCTGCAGAGTAGAGGGAAGACCTCAAAAAAGGCTCAGATACAACCACCACGGCCACCAGGGTCTTTCAGTTCTGGAATCCCTCTGGCACAAATAGCTCAGAGCAATTCACAAACATTTATTGACGAAACCCCATGACCCCTCCCCCAAGTGAATACTTTAATATCCCATTCTGCAGAGGGCAAAACGGTAACATGGAGAAGTTCAAGGCTCTTGGCTGCCTGCCATGCAGAGAAAATGAAGTCGTGGCTGGATTCTGAAAGAAAAGCATCGCCAGGTGCACAGTGGATTATTCAAGAAATGTGGTGAAAAGAGCACAGGGCTGTAAGTCAGACCTGGGCTCTCATCCCTGTGCTGTCACTCACTTGCCAGGGAACGATGTCCAAGTTACCTCCACGCTCCGGCCTCAGTCTCCCCACGTGTGTAATGGAAGGTTGAACTAGAAGACCTTAAAGCCCCTTCTACCTGTAAAAAGTCATGGAGTTCTAAGTCCACCAAGCCAGAGGACTAGACAGGCTTTCTTATCACTGCAAATCCTAAACCTTGCAACCCTCTTTCCTGTTGGAGGAACTCCTCTATGCCTCTCCAAATTCAGCCCCTTAAAGCTTGGTTCTACTTCTCCTCCTCCGGGTGGTGTCCCCTGACTTGTTGCTGCCTACAAGAATTTTGTGACTTTCAGAACACCTGATTGCTTACTTTTTCACATGGGAGGAGCTCAAACAATATTTACTAAATTAGAAGATTCTGTGTGGTTTAATCCTTAATTCAAATACCCTCGTCTAACCAGTGGGACCTGGAGGGCAGAATTAGAAAAGTGTTTGTTAAACCTTAAATATCTTAATAGATCTTCAACCTTCAATATCCATTAATAGGTGCTTTTTTTCTAAATCCATCTGGATTTTAAAATCCTGATGATACATGCCCAGAGAGGTGGTTCTTAATGTGGAGGTCCAATTTAATGCACTGTAATTTAATTTAGCAATTAATTATTGATCATCTACTCTTTGCCAAAAACTAGAGTAGACTCTGGAGTTACAAAGATTTCTAAGATTTAATTCTTTCCCTCAAGGCTATTCGGCTCCATGAGAGAAGCAGGCAAGGAGAAAGGCAGCTGTAATACATTGAGATTACTTCAATAGCAGAAGCATCTACAAGACAAACAGGAGGTATGAGGCAAATAAAGAGTAAAAAGGCCAATTACAGCTCAGATCTCGTTGAATTTGCTTTGCCTTAGACCCTAAAATAGTAAAGTTGTGACATAAAGGTTTCAACTTTGATAAGATTTCACAAGACAAAGTTGGAAGATCCCAAGATTATTGTGTATGTATGTCGGGGGTCAGAGGGAAGAGGGAATGCTGCATGAGTGAAAAACTTAAAGTAGATGTTCTTTCAAAGGAAATGCAGTTGGCATGAACAGTTTTTAAACTAATGGATACCAAGGTATAGATTCACTGCAAATAAAAGTAGGTCATTTGAGACAATCCCGTGGCATCACATATAGGAACGTTTCTTCTCCTTCCTGGCTTGATTTCCTTAAATGGAAAAAGGGTGGTTAGATGAGATAATCACAATAATCCCTTCCAGCTTTGGTGTTCTGTAGTTACATGGAACACAGACAGTGTCTTCTCTGTTGCCTCCCACAACATTTATTGCTGGGTTGGGCACTAGAATGGAAGACAGGAAGGAGAAAACAAGAAAAGTGTGGAGAGAGGGTTGTTTTCTCCCTCTAGGGACTCTGAAGTTTCAAGAAAGGTGAAATTCAGAGGTATTCAGACGAGAAAAGAAGTAGCAGGATAGGAGTTGTCATTATAAGTGTATTCCTTAGAGGTAACAAAGGTTTTTATCTTGTGTAGTGACATTAGCCAGATACTTGTAATCAGAAGGCTTGGGTTCAAGTTCTGGCACTATAATTCAATAGTTTGTAAATCCTTAGAAATCTACTTACTCTCTTGAGCCTCAGTTTCTCCTCTGTAAAATGGAGTAAATAACACTGTTAATTTAGATATATTAACTATTTGAGAGAGACATGCTTTGTAAACCACGAAAGGCTATATAGAGGTTGGTTATTGTTGTTGTTTTTGTTGTTATAAAGGGTTGTGATACTCTACCCAAATGATGATTTTTTAGACATTTGTGACAGGCAATGAGAGAAAGAAGTGGAAGTCAGGGAGTCGTCAAATTTACTGGACTACTCTGTTCCATCCTCACACGAGCTGTGAGCCGAGTCTGTATTCTGCATCTCCTTTCACAGAGCAGTAAGCAGAAGCTACAGAGAGCTGGTGGGCTCTCGCAAGCCCATGGATCTATACACTCAGAGAAAAAGCCGCTAATAATTTCCAACTCACCCTGGAGCAGATACACACACAGTGTTGAGATTGCTCATGGCCATAGAAGAGCCTCAGCTGGTAAATTTATAGAAGGCTGGTCTGCATTTTTAAGCAAGATAACTAAGCCTCCAGAGTTCACCCTGAATTAAAAAAAAATCTTTACAAGTATATGAGTCTCACAAGCTGAGATTTATGTAGAGATTTAGGTTTGTTGATGTATAAGGTAAATTTTTAATTCACCAGATAGATGCCAAAGCAAACCAAAGTTAGTATATCAGCACCATCTAGTGGGTGAGTTCTGTCAATGCACACACTAGAGGAGCAAACGGTAGGCAAAGAAAATGTGTACCCCCCAAGGCTTTGGGAAGGCTGCGGAGGAAATAGCGCCTATCAGAGAGAACCTTAGGCTGGTCACGGTGGCCCACACCTGTAATTTCCGGGCTATGGAAGGCTGATGCGGGAAGATAGCTAGAGGCCAGGAGTTTGATACCAGCCTGGGCAACATGGCAAGACTCCAGTCTCTACAAAAAATAAAAAATTAGCCATGTATGGTGTCATGTACCTGTATTGTAGCAGCTATTCTAGAGGCTAAGGCAAGAGGACCGTTTGAGCCCAGGAATTCAAGGCTGTAGTGAGCTGTGATTGCGACACTTCATATAAGCCAAGATGACAGAGTGAGACCCTGTCTCAAAAAAACAAACAAAGGAAAGAAAAGGAAACCTCAGCTAGGAGCTCTAATAGTCAGCATGGGTCCAACACATCTCTACTACAGCTAAGGCATGATGAAACAATTAGACCACGGAAACAGTCCAGACACTGTCTAGTTTTAAATCTCTCAGTTTCTTGGCCTGTGAAATGGGGATAATAATTGCTGCTTTAGAGGGTTGATGATGAGATTATATTATGGTATTAATCGGGATGAATTTAGAAAGGTACTTTATATGGAAAATAATATTCCGTGGTAGCTACTGACTTGATGCCTATCATCTATCTCCTTTGGATATCAAGTAGCCATTAATACTTTAGGTTTCCAAATAAGAAACTGCGGTTGAATATGGGTCGGTGACAAGTCCAAGATCACACAGCCAGTAGGTGGCAGAGCTGGGATTAGACCACCAGTGTGATATGCGCCAAAGCACTAGTTGACTCCACTGTACTGGGTATTAGATGCACAGAGTTTACTCCTTTTCTTCACCCTGAATTTTGTTTCTTAAGATGAACATTTGAATGCTACGATGTACTTGTGCATACACACAAATAAATATCATGAGATTCTTCGTACAGATGTGGAAGCTGAAACTCAGAAACACTAAATAATCTACCAAAAATTAACAATTACTGAGAGATCTGAGATTTGGACTCTGACTTTCTGATTATTGCTGTAGATTATTGCTTCAATCCACCTTCTACTAACTCATTTGCTCATCATTCATCTCTAACTGTGAAGTATATTTCTGTTTACATCCCAAGAGTTGCTGGTTTATTTAAATGGACATCTGCACTTAGGAAGGTCCCTGGCTCATCTAACTGGGATCTGTTTTTCTGCCCATAGAGGAAGGGAGGGTTATCTCTGGTGTACAAGATTGTTTCTCAGACTCCCATCAGCTCAAGAAGAGTGACGTGTCCCATGAGGGCGGAGGACAAGCTGGCTGGATGGAGAGAACATCATCTCTGAGCCCAAGCAGGGGTTACCACTCCAGTTAGTCTTAAAAGAGGTGACTGAAGAGCCTTACAAAAAGAATTACTGGGAGAATTTCACAAAATAAATAAAAGCCACTCATGTTTCCCAAGGCTATACTTTGTGTCTATAAAGACCCAGGGACACAGAGCCCAAATGTGGTTTGTTGGTTTGTTTATTATTTATTTATTAGAGACAGGTTCTTGCTCTGTTGCCTGGACTAGAGTGCAGTGGCACAACCATAGCTCACTGCAACCTTTAACTTCTGGGTTCAGGTGATCCTCCCACTCCAGTCTCCTTAGTAGTTAGGGCCACAGTTGTGCACCTCCATGACTATTTTACTTTTTTGTAGAGATAAGGTCTCACTATGTTGCCCAGGCTAGTCTCAAACTCCTGACCTAAAGCACTCCTCCCACCTAGGCCTTCCTAAGTGCTAGGATTACAGATATAAACCACATTGCACCCAGCCCCAAGTGTGGTTTGATCAAAGTCCGTGAAAGAGCTTGACAGTAGCCAGGCTCCGTGACTACTAACTTCCTGTTAGAACTAGGTATTTTGTCCAAACCCTTGGATTATGACCCAGAAGGATCAAATTACCCATGGCATGAAGAAATTGCTCTGCCTGACAGTTGCTTCCCTCTACAGGTCACTTTGCCTACAGGCAAGAAGATGTTTGGGATTGAATCTCAGAATTAAAACATGTACCATAGAACATAAAGTATAATAAAAAAAAAAATCCAACAGATAAAAACAGGATGCTATCTTACCAAGAAAGTCGGGTGTGGACATCCATACACTCTCAGAGGAGTGTGACGGCAACAATAGCAATGACATGAAATACCGAGTTGCTTGTATTCTGGTCTTTGCAAAAGTG